AGTGGTTGGCAGGACACAGAAGTCCTTTCTTTTAGGTCTAATCTCATGTGTTTGCTGGTGCTGCCGGCCTTCCCCATAGTGGGTCACATTGAGGCTGATTTTTATGCTTCAGACCGGTGCCTGTCTCACTTAGGGAGGTGATTCTCACCTACATACTCTGACCAGCATTCCTCATGTGTAGCCCCCGTCCATCAGAGTCAGCTCTCTACAGGCACAGTGCTCGGGGGTTGCAAAAGGTCCTGCGGGGGTTGCAGAAATGGGTTCCGTAGTTTCTACAGTAAAAGACCTTTCTTACACTTTTCCTGGACCTGATCCTCAGGTCATCCCCACACAGCCTTCCTGTGACTGGTTTGGGTGTTCTGTCTTTCCTATGTCCCTACGAGAATTTACTCTTTTCCCTTGAGACCAGTCCCACACCCACAGATGGTGATTTCAGCTAAAGCAATGTTCATTCAGGTTCAGGAACAGTATACAGCAGGGTAGTGCAGATTGAGTCTGCTGGTTCCCTCTGTCTATCCTTGCTTGAGCATGCACTCAGGACATGTGCTCACATGACCCATGCTACATGTCTGATGTATAGGTGGTCCACCTGTTGGAGCTCAGGGTGGGACCTGCTAAATTAGCAGACATATGTCTGCTTCGATGTCTCACTCCAAATCTCCTTTGCTATCTTACTAGGCCATCTGCCACTGGAGTGACGAGTCAGGCGCCACACTCATGACTGAATACTACCCTTCAGTCTCTTTTTCTTACAGCTCAGAGCTCTGGTGCTGTGGAGGAGATTCTAGACCGAGAGAACAAGCGGATGGCCGACAGCCTGGCCTCCAAGGTTACCAGGCTCAAATCGGTCAGTGATGGCCCCTTTCCCCTCTGTGTGGTACCTTGGTGAGTGGGGCTAAGAGGGTAGGAAGGAAGCATGTGTTGTCTGTGGATATGCTGACTTGAGTGATGCTTCAGGTAATACCTTGACCTTTGTAGCTTTTTCTGGTGATGGGTACCTGGCAGGGTTGTGGGTAAAGTCTGGCTGGTCTGAAGGGAAGATGGGTGCTGCCTTCCTTGTTTGTCCTTGCTTGACTATGCCCTCTCTGTATCCTAACCAGCTGGCCTTAGACATCGATAGGGACACAGAAGACCAGAACCGGTACCTAGATGGCATGGTAAGCATCTACAGTCCCTGCAGATTCCAGTCAGCTCTGCCCTCATGCTGTCTGCTCTGCTCTCTCTACCCTTCAATGGTGGTGTGGTTGGGTAGTCAGGGGTAGTCCCACCTCTGTGTGATCTTGTTGGGTCCCTCCTGCAGGACTCAGATTTCACGAGTGTGACTGGCCTACTCACAGGGAGTGTGAAGCGCTTTTCCACAATGGCACGGTCTGGGCGAGACAACCGGAAGCTTCTGTGTGGTATGGCCATAGTCTTAATTGTGGCCTTCTTCATCCTCTCCTACCTCTTGTCGAGGACAAGGACGTGAACCAGTGGAAGCCAAAGGCAGCCAGCTCTCCTGCACCTGGCATCCTGGTTTCCCGAGGACCTGGCTACAAAATAGATTCCTTTGAAATTATCATCATGGGTCATTCATCTTCCTAAGTCGGGACAACTGCAGCTGCCTCTGTCATAAGGAGCTCATGTTGGCTTGTCCTGGGTATGAAGGAGGAAGAAAAAGGCAAAACCCAACCCTACTCCCTGGTGCTGGAGACGCTGTTAGAGCCAGAGACACACCGTATGAGAATGAACCAGGTCTAAGCAAAGCATCTGTGAGTCCTGAATGTACCCACTGTGGCCAACGGCCTCAGAAGCCAATATCTTCGTCTTGCTCTAACCTGTCTATGCCTGGGTGAGACCATGTCTGTGCTCTTGAGGAGTCTGGAGCTGACACTGAAAGGAGATGTGGCCGTGAGCCCTCTTCAAATGATGATCATCATGATGCGTATGGCAGTAACTCCAGGCTGAGGCTGCCAATCAGGACCAGATCCGTGTGGGCCAAGAGTCACAGGTGCACCCCCCGCCGCTAGCGGAAGTCAAACCCCAGGGCAGGGGCAGAGCTGTAGATAGAGGAGAGGACTGCAGCCCTTGTTATCGGCGGCATTGGACTGAGGTCCTTCTGGGCCACGAGACCATGTGTCCAGGAGCAGGGATGTGTGTCCTCAGGATTGAGAATCTTCTCAGTGCCAAAGATGTGCCCATCCCCACGCAAACAGACTGAGAAATAGTGTGGTGTGGCTTTTCCAAGGCAGGCAGTACTGGGGTGGTCTGTCTGCTGGGGATCCTTATGGGGCTGAAGGCCACTGATGAAAGAATTTGTAACAGGAACATTTGACCTTGTACCGAACCTTGCCCTGCCCTGTCCAGCCAGTCTCCCTCGGTGTGTGTGGGGGGGGGGGGCTTGAGCCACCTCCTCGTTGCATAACTCCACAGACTTGCATCTCCCTGCTCTCCCGGTCCCCCCCCCCCCTTCCTCCTTGGCCAGTCCCATTTGCACACTCACTGACCTGTGGAGCTGACAGGGCCAACAGTTTATGAGAGCCCAGCACTTTTTGTCTTCACATAAAATGTCTTTAAGAAATGAACCATGAAGTTCTGTGCCCTTCTCTGACCTTACTCATGTCTTTGTCCTCCTCCTCCTCTCTCTCTCTCTCTCTCTCTCTCTCTCTCTCTCTCTCTCTCTCTCTCCCTGGACTGGCTCACTGCCTACCCATGTGGCCACACCATGAGGCCCATCTGCCTAAGAACTCACATGGGCTGTGAGTATGAGATACCAGCCTGTAGGTTCCAGGTTAAGCCAGATTCTGCCACAGCCTGGCCTCTTGCCTGTAGCAATGCCTTGCGGTTGGTGCTTTGAGGATACACTAGGCACCCTCCCCTTCTCCCCTTACCGAGCAGCTTTTCTCTGCACACATTGACTTGAGGCTTATTTGGCCCTTCCACTGTGTCTGCCTGAGCCCTAAGCCTGGCGGAGCAGGGCCCATCCTAGCGCATCCTTTGTTTTGGCTACTCTCCTGACCAGGTACAGCTCACTCCACTCTGCTGCTCTGTAGCTTTGCTGTTTGCCCCGCACACTTCCCGCTGGGCTCATCTAGCTTGTGCCACATTCTTAGGTCTCCCTGCAGACACTCCATCCTTGTCTCCTGGCGTCCGTGGGCCGGTGCTGAGCTCTGTCCTCTGCTTGTCACCAAACATGGTAATAGCTGCCTGCATCCTTCTATCTGGACCCACAGCAGGAAAGTGCATGCTCCAGCGTTGTCGCCCTGGAACCATGTACTGCTGACTTCTACTCCCAGGGTACTTGGTTTTTTGTTTTTTTGTAAGACAGTGGCTGGCTGTGTATCCCAGGCTGCTTTTAAACCAGGTAACCTAGGCTGGTCTCCAACCCATGATCCTCGGGCCTTAGCCTCCTGAATGATGGCATTACAGGCATGTGCATTCACACCTGGCTTCCCTAAAACACTTGGAACAGCCAGCACCTGCTCATCTTGCTGGTGCAAACTAAGTCTAAATATCTGCATTTGGGGGTAACTTCCTTTGGGGCATTGTCCTTGCCATCTCTCTATGAGATGCATCCCCCCACCCAACATGGCTAGTTTTCTCCTCAGGTCTCCACCCTCCTCCACCAACCTCCATGACCATTTGTAGTTCTCCAGCTACTTTGGGGATCAGGATTGTAGCTCTTGTGACATTTAGATGTTGTTCTTTCTTGCATTAATCATGTGAAGGGTGGGGGATACCAACCCCACAGCCCCTGGGTCAGACCAACTTCCTGAAGGTTGTAACCATAGCCTCCAACTCAGGCCTGTCAACATCTGGCACTTCCCCTAATGTGTGGGTGGGTCCTCCACACCAGCAAGTCATAAGAAGCCTTTGGTGCCCAGTGTGAGGGGCTATGAGTATGAGATACCAGGTTCATCCTACAGTTCAAGGCCTCTTGCTAATAAAAACCTAGTCTCCCTTGGGCAGGACAGCCACAGACCCACCAACTTCCTTCTGTGTGGCCCCTCTGCCAATCTGAGAGTAGTGTGTTATCGTTACATCCTAAGGGATGAGGGAGTAAGGGCAAGTTGGCTGGGACACACAGGCTTGTGCAGGAAAAGATCCCCAGGGGCCACCTGCTCTGCACCGACCTGCCCTAAAGTTGAGGTGATACTGCATCCCTGCTTCTTGAAGCTGGGCCTTGGACCCCAAGAGCCTCTGTAGACACTATCCTCAGGCCCAGCTGAGATGCCAGCTCTTGCACACATCCTCCTACTGGCTGTGGGAGGAAACAAGCTCCCCAAGATTTGTACTGAATAAGGAGGACATGTCTTGTTACATTGTTCCCATGGTCAGCACTTGAGGCGGCCTGGTGAAAATGGCCGTGTGTTAGCCATGCACAGGCCTTCCTGGCAGGCAGGCTGGGGGGTGTGTCACCTTGAAAGCCTGCAGGCCAGTGCTGACGTGAGCTGAGATTCTGGCTGCTATGCCTGTGTCGGGTGGTTGCATAACCTTGCATGTATGGAGCTTCTTCCCAGTGTGCACAGGGGCGCGCGCGCGCACACACACACACACACACACACACACACACACACACACAGAGCACACTTTCGTTGTACTCTGCTGTCAAGGTGTTCTGGATCCCTGGTGCTCAGAGAGCCTGACATAAGGAGGAGAACCTGTGAAGGATAGCTCAGGTGTCAGGCGGAACTCTGAGCCCCCAGCCCTTCTCTGTAGGACCTCCAGGCCAGGAAGCCAAGACAGCCCCCACCCCCCGACAAACTTTGTCTTTTCTCCAAGATAAACCCTTACAAATGCCATCTGTGGTTTATTAAATAATTTGGACATGGCAGGAAACAAGATTAACAAACATGAGATAGTATAGAAAAAAATAACTTGTCAAAACCGTCCAAACTATCGTGCTCTGTGGTGCAGGGCCAGGCTGGTAGCGGCCCCATTGGTGAAGTGCCCAGTTCGTCAGCCCAGCACATTTCCGTCGGAGGAGCGTGGTCACAGGCTGCTGGCATGGATAGTGGGAGCTATTCCACATCGACAACCAGGGGCGTCATGTAGTCAGAGTGCTTGATGCCAAAGGTGACGATGGGGGCACACGGCTTGTTCATGGTCACCTAGGAGGAGCGGGAGGACTGTGAGGAGGAGCATTCTCGGCTTGGGGCTAGAGTGAGGGGCTCAGTCCCTCCTGAACTTGGGGCCATGGTTGCCAAGTGTGAAGGCCATGCTGTGCTCAGGAACCTTAACTGTCACTGGGGACAGTGGGTTAGCCTCTGGGGATGAGGCTAGAACCCAGGTTTCCTGTAACTGAAAGGTGACCATCAGGGCCACTGATGGAAATGCACAAGATCCTAAGGGTGCATGGTCCCCACTCACCCTTGCAGGGTGCAGGCCCTCCCTACACATTCTGGATCATCTCCCTTGACCCCTATCTGACCCCTCTAGTTCCTGGACCTTCTCAGGACTGTGAGCTCCTGGTCCTGGCTTCAGGGTCTTATCCCCTGGGGGCTCCACCCGGGCAGCCATGGTGTACTGTGGAGCCTTGAACTTGGTCACTTGAACATCAGTCTGACGGTACGCTGCAGGGCCTGGAGTCTGGAAGATGAAAGGGCTCAGACAGGCTTGGCTTTCCCAGGGCATGTGGCCCCAGAGGGTAGGGTTAGGTGTGGGACCTTGCTTCACCGAAGATACTCTTAAGCTGTCTGCCAGCCATGGGAACAATACCCCATTGTTTATGGGGTGGGGTGTTACTATCAATCTCAGCCTCCCTGAGATTGGCAGTGGCATTCCCCAATGTGCCAATCTTGTGTCCACTCCTCTGGAGGTATATGCAGGGCCCTTTTTCCTGTTGGGACACTATCCTCTTGGTCGTGAGGGCAGAGGTCAGGGGCTAGTGAGGTCAACAAACTCCTGTAGTGCTACTGAGGTTGTGTGTCTACTCCAGGGCCTTTGCACCAGCTGTTAATACAGGTAGACATTTCCTCCCCTAAGTAGCTCAAGGCTCCCCACTTCCCCCGTTCTTCCTTGTTTCCATGTCCTCTATCTAAAATTAGTGTTTGCCCTCCAGGCAGTACCCCACAAACACCTTAGCTTGTTCTCAGTATCATCCCATCACCCACGTTGGTCTCCCGGCCCCTCCCCACCACTGAATGTAGCCCAAGCATGTGGCAGGCACCCAGAGGTGGAGAGGATGCAGGAGTTTCAATAGGGCAGTAGTTGTCTGGGGATTTGTGGGTCCTGGGGGAGAGGATCAGACAGGTCATTGGGGCTAGGCTTTGTACTCAGCTGGGGTGACCCTTGCCTTGTGCAGGTCGTCGCTGAAGCTGCCCAGCTTGCTGCGGCCCTTGATGGAGAAGGAGGGCTGGGAGACCTTGCCCACCGTGTGTGGCCCCATCACCATAGGCAACATGTACGCGGCAGGACCTGTGGGTGATGGGGGAACCTCAGGCTGGGACAGACCCATTACCTCTTATCTGGGATACCCTCTACCTTTTGGAATCCTATGTTGGGTTACCCCTCCTCCACCCCATGCTGGAACCCCAGCTCCATCCCATCAGTTGGCTGGGATGCAGCAGACCTGGAGTGCTGTCCACTCGGAAGGTCTTGGTCCGGGCAGAAATGGAATGACTAGGTGCTGAGTCGAACACATGCCTGGTAGATTTCTCTGGAAAGTAATCGCCTGGAGAGGAGGGAGGGTGTGCAGGAACAACAAGCATCTGGAGTTCCCCACCCCACCCCCAACACCTGGGTGCCCACAAAGGATGTCCCAACAGTTAAGACACAGGGCCCCTGGGCCCCAACATTGTGGTTGAACAGATTTGGTCAGGGATGTCCACAGTAGAAACACTGGCATCAGGGCTGTTTTCAAGCACTGGTGTGGGCCTCGTCCCTGGACTCCGGGCAGAGTAGGACTGGTGGGTTTCAGGCTCTGCTGTTCAGGCCTGACGTTGTCCCCAGGAGCAGGAGAAATGAGGCTATCTGGCCTTCACATATCAGAACATGCATATTAGGGTCTGGAGCAGAAGACAGGGGTCACTCACCCGGGCCAGGGGTCAGCGTGGTCTTGGTACGGTAGCGCCCCAGGATGGAGTAGGCAGGGCCAAGGTCCTTGCCAGTCCTCAGTATCTTGGGGTTCACACTGTAGCGGGGCCCTGGGGAGCAATTCTCCGCCAAGAGCATGGGGGCCCCACGGAAGCTGTAGGCTGGTGCTCGAAGTTTGGTGGGTGTGTGCTTCACAAAGCCTGTGGGCACAGGGGCTCAGGGCTGCTGGAGCCAGGCACCCTTCTCTCCACTGGGAGTCAAGGACTGAGCCCAGACCCATCCCAGGCCACACCATTCCTGGCTTCTTCCCTTGTCCCCACCAAGCCCCAGGCCCTTAGACAATCTTACCCGTGGTGGGTGGAATCAGGTACTTGGGTCCAGGACTGCTGTAGAGGGCCATGATGGGCCCCCTGGGGCGATGGGGCCTCCAGGCGCCCACCCATACCTCCTCTGCCATGGTTGGCTCTGTCCATGGACAAGAGGGTGACCAGGTGCTGGGATGCCCTGTCCCATCTCATTCCTGGCCCTCGTGTCCCATTCCTGGTTCTGCTAATACTGCATCTTGCAGACCCCAGTCCTTGCCCCATGGAGACATGGGGGGCTCTAGCAGTTCAAGCAGAGGGAGCTCCCCATTCAGTGTGGTGAACTCACCCCTACCCAGCTCCAAGATAGGGGTTGGTGTTATGCCTTCAGGATAGGCCTAGAGGAGCTGCCCACATTGGCCCTGCACTGACTATTCTCTTGGTTCTGGGGGAGCACGGGCTGGTCAGAGAACCCTGGGTGCGACTTTGCAAAGAGCTGGATGGCAAGGGTTGAGAACTTCTTGGCTGAGCTGTGTCATGGGCGAGAGGGGAGCAATTGGGAGGCCTCACCTCCTCCGTGCAGGAATGGGCTTAGAGCAGCTTGGGACCCGGCCTCCTCACCGGTGGCCTGTCCCCCTGGCGTCTGTGCCAGGCAGTTCCCTAAAAAGGAGCATGGAGAGAAAGCTTCTCTCTTTCCCCCAGTTTTGAGAATTGGGGAGGGGTCCCTGCCCCTAAGCTCTAGAATGTGGCTTTGTCCCACAAGGAATTCTAGATCACAGTGTGTGTGATGCAGACAATGGCCTCTGCACAAGACCTCTCGTCAGAGCTTACCCTTTCCAGAGACCCTGTCTTCAGGGAACCACCACCCTCTCCAGGGACCTTCCCTCTTGGGGGTACCTACATCTCCTATCAGGACCCCTATCAGGGGTCTCCTATTAGGGACCACATGCCTATCCAGGAACCCCCACCTCCTTAGGGACTCCTGTCTCTCCAAGGAGCCCTTACCCTCTCTAGAGAACACCCCCTTCCAGAGACACCTCCCACCTCTCCAGGGACCCCCTTACTTTCCAGACTTTTTAACTCTGGGCTGGAACTTTAAGTGGCTGGGACAGATGTAGAGAGAGTGAGGTTGCAGGTTTTGCCTGAGCTTTGGCCCCACTAGAATACAGTGATTTGGGGAAACTGGGAGACAGGCAGGCTCTGGCTGCTGGACGTCTGGGAGTGCAGGGTTGGGCTGGAGACTGTGGTGGGCTTCCCTAGCGAGGCTGCTTTCTCCCTGCACCTCCTTAGACCCTGCTGTCCTTCCAGCTTCCCAGCTGGCAGCGCCCACCTCTCAGGGCCCTGGGTGTCCTTGGAAGCCATCAGGGCTTCCCTTCTTGACCTCACTAAGGCTCCTCTCAGGGTTCTGGCTGAGGTTGGGCTCTCTTTCCTGGGGTGATTTGGGGAAGAGAGATTGTTTTCAAAGCTTCCAGTGCCTATCTGTCAGCTGACTGTGCTATTGCCTGATTTTTTTTTAATGCAAAGCTCCTGTGAGGAACCCCCAGCCCCATAGAGCCCTCAGCCTAACCCAGCCCTGCCTTTCTGGGTTAGGCTCCTCCATCTTGCCACTGTAGACCCCATCCATCCTCATGTTTCATGTGTCCTGAGGCTGCACTCACACATTGCTTCTGGAAAGTGATCCCACATAGGAGTCTGTGTCTTTGGTGTATCCCTCAGTGTGCCCTTGATAGGACTTTTTTGTGTATCCCTGTGTTGCAGGGAGAGAGAGGAGCCAGTGCCTGGGCTGCAGGAGGCTTTATTGATTTAACAGTTCGAGGGTGAATTTACTCGTGAGGAAGCAGTGGTCTTAGCTCATCCATGGCTGCTTGTGTGGCTGGTCCTGTCGTTCATGGAAGTCAAGCCATGTCTCAGGCCTGCTTATGCGCCCTCTTTATCATCTAGCACTTGCACCTGAAAGAGAAATGTGTGGGGATCAGGAGGGCAGGTAACCAGCAACCAGAGCCACCAGGGCCAGAGGCAGACAGGTCTATGCATACCGGCGGAGTAGACAGGTTCTGCACATCGTGGTCCACCCCTCCTATCACCTTGGGGAGTTGTGTGCATGTGCACTGCCTTTGTGGGACATAGTCCTTGGGGGAAGCAGGACTAAGGTATTCTGGAGGCTTCTCTGTGAGGTCCCCATCTCAGCTTGTTGATGTAGGTCTTCCCAGGGTGGGGGCGGGGTGGGGGCAGGGTGGGGAGTAGACTGGTGATCAGGTACCATGCATGGGTGGGTCTTGGAAGAACTGCAGACATTTGGGGATGGGAGCCCCAGCCCAATTACCAGCAGCTTGACCAGTTGCTCCTTATGCACAGGCTGCAGGCCATCAATGCAGGACTTGAGCTCCCCCAGTGCCGACTTGGCCATGTCATTGACATTGTACTTGCCCAGGGGCCCTTCATAGAGCTCTTCTGCGGTTCCCACCAACAGTGTTTGCAGGAATTCCATGAAAAACTCATTGTCATCCTCTGCTGCAGTCAGCCCTGTTTTGCAAGGGGGATATAATGCCACAGGAGAGACTTGATCTCCTTCCCTGTCCCACATCTTCCTCTCACTCCCAGGACAACCACCTGCAGATCCCTTCCCCATTACCACTAGTGGGAGCTGCTGTGGTGTCCCCTCTGAGTTCCTGATCTCACCAGGGAAGAAAAGTCATGCCCTGATATAGGGGCATTTCTTCCCCTAGGCTAGCTGGATTCAGGGGGTCTGGTCAAGTTGGGTTGAGCCAGGGTAGGTGGCAGTGTCCTTGGTGGTTGGTGTTCGGTCAGGGTGGGTTGGGCTGGGACTGGAGTCAACAGATTCCCTGCACTTTGGGGATGGGGTCTGTGATTTAGGTAGGCACTGTCTACCCGATCCCAGGATTTCGGCCTCTTGGGGCCCCTCATCTCCTGAAAAGTGCCAGCAGAAGTAAGGCCCAGACTTACCACAGATGCAGAGCAGGGTTAGAGCCACCAGCAGAAGAGTGCTGCTCCCCTTCATGGCGACAGTCTCAAGAACTGCTTGGGGGACACCAGGCTTTTATGCTTTAGCAGGTGGCACCTTGCCCAGGGGCGGGCCATACCTATCAGGACCTGGCAGACCAACTGGGCCAGGCATGTCACTGTGCTCCACCAGGTGCCAAGAAGTGCCAGACTTGAGTGGATCATAAGGGGGCTGTTGGCAAACAAGTCGGGGTGAGTGGAATAAATCCCACTCAGGGTGAACCAAGTGTCAGCTAGTTAACAGAGAGAGTGCCAAAGGCCGTGGGTGGCCTCCAGGATGCAGTGACAGGTTCTGGGACAGGTCCAGATCTTTCTTTGGGGTTGGGATCCACACCTCTGCTTTATGAGCTGCCTGGTCCTAGTCTGCACTTGGAGAGGAGTAGGCTGAGGCCACCCTACAACTACAGGCAGGAGAGGAGCCTGGGCACATGAGGTCCGAGGGGTGGGGGCTTCCTAGGTTTGGGGGGGGGGGGACCCAGGGCCACAGGAGGTCTGCAGGTGGAGGCAGTGTCCAGGGGAGGTAGGGTGGCCAGAGGAGCTGCAGTTGGGCGTGTCCTGCCTCTCTCCTATCCTCTGCTGCCACCTGGTGGCTTGATGGTCTCTTCTACACGGTGCTGGTTGCAGACCCTGCTCAGACACAGAATTCTCCCTCCACGCACTGTCAGAAGGAGCCCTGTTATCCCATGTCTGAGCAGGGTATCATGGTGTCCCTCATTACCCCCCCCCGTCACTTGCTTATACTTAGCCTTATGTAGTGTATGCTTTGCCCGACATAACCCCCAGAGCATTGCTTTATGCCCCTCAAGCACTGTCCCAATGACGGTAGTCCTCGCCTTCCTAGACTTCTGTTTATAACGAATATTTGCTAACCTCCTTTGCTAGTATGAAATTAATCTACAGCGATGGAACCTACTTATGTGCATAAGTCTAAAAATGTGGGAGTGAGCTCCTCCCTCACGCACACCCCACCTGTACCCGGGTCCACTACGATTGTTCTGGATGTTCATTCAGCCCATGAACCTGAACTTGCAGACAAGGCGAACTAGATGATCAGCTGCAAGGCTGCACAGAGGAGAGAAGCAGTACCTCCAAAGGCTCATGAAGTTCAAATTAAGATCATTGCCACTGCTGTTTGCACACAGATGCCTATACCCCGAGTGATGCCTATACCCTGAGTGGAGCTGATCCTAAGGGGTGTTTCCTGGTGATCTTGGGACAGGAAGGTGCTGGTATTGTGGAGAGCGTTGGTGAAGGGGTTACTAAGCTGAAAGCAGGTGATACTGTCATCCTGATTTACATCCTTTAGCGTGGAGAATGCAAATTTTGTCTGAATCCTAAAACAAACCTTTACCAGAAGGTAAGAGTAATTCAGGGGAAAGGATTAATGCCAGAGGGTACTAGCAGAATAACCACAAAGTAAAGTCTATTTTTCTTTTTTTAAAATTCTATTTCCACAGCTTTTTTTAAAAGCTCATTTATTTATTATGTACACAGTGTTTTGCTTCCATGTATCCCTGCACGCCAGAAGAGGGCACTCATTATAGATGGTTATGAGTCGCCATGTGGTTGCTGGGAATTGAACTCAGGACCTCTGGAAGAGCAGCCTTAACTGCTGAGCCATCTCTCCAGCCTGGAAAGTCTATTTTTCATTTCATGGGAACCAGCACATTTTCCATGTACACAGTTGTGGCTGGCATCTCTGTTGCTAAAATTGATCCTTCAGCGCCTTTGGATAGAATCTGCCTTGGCTGTAGCATTTCAACTGGTTATGGTGCTGCTGTGAACACGGCCGAGGTGGAACCTGGTTCTACTGTGCCGTCTTTGGTATGGGAGGCATTGGATTGGCAGTGATCATGGGCTGTAAAGTGGCTAGTGCATCCTGGATCGTGGTGTTGACATCAATAAAGATGAGTTTGCAAAGGCCGAAGAATTTGGAGCCTTTGAATGAACAAACCCATCCAGGAAGTACTCACTGAGATGACAGGCGGGGGATGCTGACAAGATATTTGAGGTACTGGCAAGATGAAGGTCATGTGAATGGCCCCTGAGGGGCCCACAAAGGCTGGGGAGTGTGGTGGTGTTTAGCATAGTGGCTTCAGGTGAGGAAATCGCCACTCATCCATTCCAGCTGGTGCCAGGACACATGTGGAAAGGCACTGCCTTTGAAGGACAGGTAAGTGTGGAGTGTCCCAAAGATGGTGTCTGAATATATGTCCAAAAAGAGAAACGTTGAATTCGTGACTGGAAATGAGTCCTTCGACCAAATTGACAAAGCCTTTGACCTGAGGCACTGGGTTGGGCGGGGGGGAGCATTTGAACTCTTCTAAAGATATAAATTGAGACAAGAACACTGTCCATCTCATACTTTTTCCTGTGATCAGATAGGAACACACTGACAAGATTTACAAGCTAACAGCCTCTTAGACTTTAGAAACTACTAAAAGAAATGTGTGGAAGTGATTACGGCTCCAATCAAGGACAAGGCAAATAGTCACAAGTCGGTTTTCTGAACTCCCCACATAAATAATTGCTGCTCGCTAAGGAGTATTTTAACACAATAAAAATACTTTTGGAGAAACAAATGTGGGAGTGGTTGTTCCACGCAGCCTCTGCCAGCGGAGTTACTGGGAGAGCTGACTGGGCTCTTGCCTTGCTGTGGAGCTCACTGGGGGTCGTCTTTAAATTGTAGATAGCTTAGTGAGGGAGCTGATGCCAATCTTGGCAACCCGAGTTTGACCCTCAGAACTCACATGATGGAAGAAGAGAACTGACTCCTGCAAGTAGCATTTCCAGGGGCTTGACCTGGATGTCTGTTTTGAGACCGACTGCTCCCTTCCCCCGTCCCCCCCCCCCCCCCCCCCCCCCCCCCCCCGTCCCTGCCCCCAGATCTGACACACAACTGGTGCTTTTAAAGACTCTCTGGCTCAGCCTCTGTCATTTTACATTGGCCTCCCCTGGGGTTACAAGTGGAATAAGTGGTCCCCTGGTCTCCCTTTGTGGTATCCGGTTTGCAGTTATTCCCCTCACATACCTTAGACCCTCAGCAGCACACGCTGGGTGACATTACCGTGCAAGCTAGCTTGCTTGGGCTGAGCGTTTGAGAGTCTCCCAGCTGCCTGGCCCTGTTTACTCCTCTTGTCTTACTGTAGGTGACAACATTGCCCTTATCAGTCACCTCATACCCTAAACACTTGTCCCTTGTCCTCTCCCCTCCTGTGGACTTGTCCTCTACTTCTTCCAGTACCACTTCAAGGTCGTTCTCTTGTCATGGACACTGTTTGCAGAGGTAGTCCCTCTTCACATTCCATTTCATGCACCCTCTGACCATCTAGTCTCACTCCCTCAAGTACCTAAGCTCTGAAGTTGTTTGGGATCGCACTTCCTGGCCCACATCATGTCCAGACATTTGTATTTGGTATATCGCCATTACAGTGACTCCTTGGCCTGTGCCCCTCACCGCTGGTAGTGTCTTGTGCTGGTTGATTTTTGTCAACTTGACCCAAACCCAGACATATCTGGGAAGAAGGAATCTCAACTGAAGAATTGTCTCTATCAGATTGGCCTGTGGAAAAGCCTGTGGAGTATTTTCTTGATTAGTAATTGATTGGGGAAGAATCAGTCCTCTGCGGGCTGTGCAACTCTTGGCTAAATGGTCCTGGGTGGTATATGAAAACAGGTTGAGTAGCCACGAGGAGCAAGCCAGCAAATAACATTTTTCCATGGCTTCTGTTTCAGTTCCTGCCTCCGGTTCCTGCCCTGGCTTGCCTCAATGATGAACTGTGATATGGAAGTGTAAGCCAAAGCTTTCCTTCCCATGTTGCTTCTGGTCACTGGGTTTTAGTTCAGCAATAGAAAGCTAACCAGAACACGTGTCTTCTGAAAAAGCCCCAACACAGGATGAATTCATACCACTGTGCAGAATGTGGCTAGGAAACTACCTTGTACCTCACAAGACCACAGCCTTGTCCTACGTGCCAACAGCTTCAGAGGATTGCTACAGTGGTGTGTTCTCACACCCTGGAGATGGCTCCTGCCATACTACCTCCTAGTCACAGTGCCTCGGCTCTTATTTCACAGACAGAAACAACAACCCAAGCAAACAAAAACAAAACCCTGCAAACCAATCACCTGACCTACTACCCTGCCTTCATTTAAAGATTCTACCGCTTCATGTTCTCTCATGGCTTTGTACAGAGCTCCAGCCAATCCTTTCGTAGCTACATTTTATCACTTCTCCCTGAGACCTTTGCCACAGCTTTCTGCAATCTCAGCAACTTTGGCTGTGCTGAGTCTCTATAACCAGCACAGGTTTTTGCTTCCACACATCCACATTCAGGCAGAACCTGGGCTGGGTGTCCATCCGCTCCCTACCATCCACCCTTGCTGTTTTTGAGAGAATCTGAACTCCGTGAATTGCGTTTGTCTGTTGAGCACCAACGGATCAGAGGCAAGACAGATAGATTTGGATCTAAGTTTAGTTTTTAGTTTTTATTATGTGTGTGCATGAGTGCATTTTTGTCAATGTCTCTGTGAGTGTGTGCGCGCACACACACACACACACACACACACACACACGCATGTGCACATGCATGTGCACAAACATACCACAGACCATAAGAGGGCAGTTGTAGCAGGAATCTTAGAAGGTCTTATTAATAAAATCAAGCCTGAGGTCAGTTATTGGGGTAAATGCTGGAAAATCAGAGAGACAGAACAGGCCACAACTTCCTCACCTTGCCAGTTCCTCAGCTGATCCTGTTTCCTCAGACTGGAAGCCTCTGAGTCCTCATATCTGAATGGATCTCAGCTGAACTGCTGCTAGAAGCCTACAAGCTTAACCAGCCAATAGCTTCTAGTTTCTGGCCCTCACACCTTATATACCTTTCTGCTTTCAGCCATCACTCCCTGGGATTAAAGGCTCGCTTTCTGGGATTATCCGCAGTCATAACTGAGTCACCATGCTTGGCTGTATCCTTGAACAGATGGATTTCTGCCTCTGGAATGCTAGGATTAAAGGCGTGTGTTACCACTGCCTATTCTCTATGTTTAATATTGTGGCTGTCCTGTTCTCTGACCCTAGATAAGTTTATTAGAGTGCACAATATTTCGAGGAACACAATATCACCACAGGCAGTTGATCCCTTGGAGCTGGAGTTACAGGTGGTTGTGAGCCACCTGATGTGGGTGTTAGGACCCAAATTCTGTTCCTCATGATTGAGCAGTAAATGTTCTTACTACTGAGCAATCTCTCCAACACCAGTTCTAAGTTTTTATGCTTGAATTTTCTTTTTTTTGAGAGAGGGTTTCTCTGTGTAGCCCTGGCTCTCCTGGTCTTGCTTTGTAGACCAGGCTGGCCTCTAACTCACAGAGATCCGCCTGCCTCTGCTCCCTCTCCCAAGTGCTGGGATTAAAGGTGT